AAAATATCCAAGAAATTTACTTCATTTATATTTCAGATTCGGAATCTATCAAAGTTAACAAAGGGATATTTCAAACTCCAACACTCAACTTTTGTGAATCGTCTTTTGGATTGCAGTAGACGTTTTTTGAAGGATATTTGATGTCTATTAACAGGGGTGCGCGATAGACTTACCTCCATGTGGTGCATCCTGGGAAACGTATTCTCATAGGACCAAAAAAGTCTATTAACCGGAAGTTGACCCCACTCTATGTTATATTCCACTACTTCCACAGTAATCACCTCACCTTTTTCTACCTTCTTTGTGGTCTCTTTTACATCTTTGAAACACTCTTCTCTTCCCTCCCTCCCTCCTTTCGACTTTTTTCATTTCGATGTTCCTTCCTCTCTATGAGGCCTACCATCAAAACGCCTACCATCTGATCTAAATAAATAGATGTCTATTAACAAATTTTTCCAACATGAACTGCAGGTTTTGTTGCGTTAATCGATTTTGTCGAGACGCAAATACAATTACAAATAACTATTAAGCTTTCTCCGCTAAAGTAATTAATACATTTTATGTTTTCTTCTCACTATTATTGAAAATAAATAGCATCAATTAACTTGCCTAAGAGTTGACCTATGCTGTGCATGTTTGCAATTGAATTGGCAAAATTATTTCGCTAGAACAGTGGTAGCTTGTGTTTTCAATGCTCTTGTCAGTGAAATGGGCCTCTTTGATTGCAAAGGCATTGATTGCCAAGGCGTGATTTTTATCAATTTATAGTTTTAAGGCAAATGAGCTAAGGTAGGTAAAAAATCCTTAATCCTCTGGGCGCACATTCACTAAATTTTATTGCCTTTCCCAACCATCTCCATTGTTCTCCATTTCTTGCTATTGTTTAGTTTAGGTTCCGCTCACCTTAAACTTTTGTTTAGGAAATGACCGCTCTCCAGTCACCAAAAGAAGATCTTTGATATTCTTTGAGTTTTTCCCTTATACCATCATGAAGACAATTGGGCTACTACAAACTCGTTCATTTATTTTTTTTCTATTTTGTTTCGCTCTTTTCGAATAGTTTTAAAGAAGTGATCTCTTTCATTGAGTCACGATTTTGCTAAACCAAACGAAAGTCAAAGACAGAATTTTCTCACTGCTAGCTCTCAGTCAGACATTGGATATGAATCACGTCATCGGTCGCGTGAATTGGCCCACGAAATGGCGTGAAGAGCCACATTGATTAATTAAGGTCAATTAAGACTTGTAAAGGTAAACTCTAACTAGGTGCTAATCGAAGTTATGCGAAACTCATGAATTAAGAGGGGACGACCGAATACTTTGCTCTGAACATCTAGTCAATAAGTTTGAGTACAAGAGCACGCTTAGAAACTAAGAAATCAAATCAGGAAATTTGAAATTTAGGGCACATTAAGCTACCCAGTCAGCAACTACGTGGATGTAGAGTTTAGATAAAACCTCATTTGTTGCTATGATGTCAGTCTTCACTCCTCAGTAGTGCAACATACTCCTATCGGTGTTCTGAACCAGCAATGTCTTTAATTCGAACCTTTAGGCAAGGTAGGGATCATGTGGCTAAAACAGAAAAATGGATTATGAAGATTAATCTTGTAATATTGCACAAATTTTTTTACCCTAAAGCTTCTTTTGAGGCATTAGAGACTAAGAAAAACTATAAACTAAGATGATTTTAAGCTTATAAAAACCATGGTGAGTTGAAGCGTCACAAATCAGAATGTTGCCCTAAATACTAACATCGGGATCAATAAACAGGGCACTTCGAAAGATATTTTTCACGCTGAGGTGAGCAATAAGTAGTCCCAATCTTATAAACCCAATAGCCAAAACATTTCCTCGAATTTATCTCCCTGGTGCAGTCATGTTCTCGTGCATCCGAGTTGAATAATATATCCCGTATTTACTTATAAACGGTGCCCAGCAAATATGGTACACAACATACGTGATTTTATGTGAATGTCAACCATTCTTAAGAAAGCAACCAGTTATTCACAAAAATAGACCTAAGGTATCGGATTTTTCATCAAATTAATGGCATCAATACGTCTGCTGTTTAGGAATTTCCTCCAAATAATAATTAGCATATTAGCTAATTATATCTTTTAAACCATCAAACCATATTAATTATTAGCTGGAATGCATTGTTTTTTGCCTTTAATAAAGAGTAGGGAGGATTTCAATCCAGACTAATGAACCCAACAACGTAAAACAAATCCCACGAATTGTTTAAGACACTGAACTGGATACCCGACTATCTCTTAACACAAAAAGTGGCATTTGTTGCTAACCAAGTAAGAGTTAATCTTATGATGAAGCCACTTCTGAGATCACGTTCAAAGTTGAATGTATCATTAATACGGTTTCTAGGACAAGAGTGGGCCGATGTTTGAATGAGAGCGCACTAGATTTAGATGGCATCAATAGAAGACAGATTGAAGTTGATCATGAGTGATGTCTTAGGGATTTGGAGATTAACTGAATCTAATTTGACAAATCGTCTTTAGAGAGAAGATTTTAAATCTGATTTGAAGCAAAGATATCTGCGTGAAAAACAACAGACTCGAGATCTCTTAAAGAAACACATATTTCCATAATCATACAATGTAAAATTTGTAATTAAATTGTGTAAGTAATATCGGAATACTAATTTCTTCCGTCTATAATTGAGAAGATCTCAGTATGTGATCTACTGATCTGGCATAGTGGTCTGACCTCTGAATAATAGGACCCTTCTTGGATTAACTCTTGCAAACTAGATACTTTTGATGATTGGAAGAGACTAATGTGTGGGGTTGATGTTCTCAACCATAGCATTTAATTATCTACCTCCTGGAGTCTTGAACACGAATATTTACCAACATTATCTCTAGTCTTAATTACTAGTTATTTTAATTTGTTTTCGCTTGTCTCAGTCCCTCACATATAGCATAGTGAGTTCTACTTCGCCTTGCCCACTATTCACTAAGCATCAAAGTGTCTTTTGCACCATACTCCTCTGAACTGAGCTTTATTCCTTTCTCTCTAGTTACTCCTTCAACTCACAAAGTTTGGAGCCCAACACATTATCCCTCAATCAATGTACCATGCAGCATTGTAGTACTATAGCCTGTTATTATCTTACCTGATACACTCTAGGCTACGATCAATGCAAGATTAAGCAAGATTGAAAGTGTGCGGTTTTTGCTGATGAAAGTGAAAAGAAAAATCACTGGTGGATCGATCAGCTCTTTCAAATAATGAAATTCTTTGTTCAATAGTTGGGTTCTAGCAGAAATCTAGCTCTGAAATCGTATGAAAACGTGTTTCCCAGATTTCTTCATTTAGTATCAAGACGATGTAACTTGCAATAGCACTCGCCCTATAATTCTTGGTCGCAGATGAGTTAAAGTACCCCAAGTTCCATGATCTCCACCTCAATGACCAAATCCTTTATTCCCTCTTTAAAGCCTGAGCTTTCATCCTTTAATTAACTTACAATTCCTCTGTGTTTGAATATATCCCCACGATGAAAGTTTCTGAAACATTTCGGGCATGCCACTGGAGATAAACATCTTTAACCGGAATTCTCGAACATTTGAGCATTTCCATACTCTCCATTAGCATTATGAGATAAGCAGACAAGCTGATAAAACCAGATTTCAACTAATAGGAATTTTACCAAATTACTATTCTAACAAAGAAAATAAGCTAAAAGCTTTGGTTAGTTGGAGGTAATAACGATAATCAATAAGTAATTTAAAATAGGAAGATTCTGATTTGTTAGTAGAAATTTAAAAAGTACTTTCATCAACTTTCTCTATTTATCACTGAAATTTATTTCTAAATAGCGCGTAACTTTCAAATTCGACTTCATTCCCTGAGTGGCTATAACTGTCCTGCCAATTATGGTCAACTTGAGTTGAGCTCAAATTGAATTTAAATGATACTTTTTGGCAAACATTGGATACTTTGTCCACAGAGTTTAATCTCATGCTTTTATGCTTTGAGCATAAACGAGAATAGAATCAATGAGCTTGAAATTGTTACAATTCATTTTTATACAATAATATTTCAGCTAGGGGTGTGCGATAGACTTACGTGGTGCACCGTGGGCAACGTATACTCATACGACTAAAAAGTCAATAAGCCGGCAGTTGACTTCTCACTTCAAACAACCATCACCCCCCACTGTATGTCATATTCGACCCCTTCCACAGTACTCAACTTACCTTTTCTCTACCTTTGTGTCTGTTTGCCTCTTTTACATCTGTGAATCGCTCTTCTCTTCCCCACCCCTCGACTTTCTTCTACTCTGATTAACCTTCCCTCTGTGAAGCCCGAAGTCAGCTAAATGGCAAACGCCTGCCATTTGAAATAAATAAATAATTCAGTTATATAATACTTGACTAAATTATTGGATAATAACTATTGAAATGCTACTTTGGTCTGCCAAATACTAAAAGAAAACTTGCAACTACTAAAGCTATGCCTAAAAATGAAAGAGAGATAAATGTGCACAAAAGTATAAACTATTTATAATTGACAATTGGGGCGTTGATTTCTACAAAAGAATAACTGGAAATCAACCAGAAATAAATTCTTGAAGGCATGCTCCCATATCATATTCTATCAGTAGAATGGCGAGATTTTGAAGGAGTTTTCCATTTAGAAATTCTTATTTAGTGGAATTCTTATGAATCATCATGAACTTGTAAACTTACATTGAATTTTATTTTAAGTTGGACTCATGTTTGCTCAATTAGACCTAGCTTCTAACTAGCATAATAATTTGTATCAACTGGGCTTAAAAAGTATCATCTTGGTAATTATTGTGGAGATTTATATCAACTATGATGGTTTTATGGATTCTCCAGACTGTGTGCACACCCGGCCAATCACGTTACTGACCGCGCCGCAAAACACATAGAACTAACCATTCACATCCCAGCAACACAACCCATCAGGTTACCAAAATCCCATCACACTCGTCACCTCATCACAAAATGTCCTACTGCGAGTTTGCCGCCGGTTGGTCACAAGCCGTTCCAAGCACTTCTAACTGGTCTCAACTGCCTTGTGCTTCAAGCCCTCAAAACTTATCGAATCCACAGATCTCAACTTCCTATCGATTTTTCAATTACTGCTCACAAAGTACCTATCCCGTGTCTGCAGTTCCAAATTATGCGACGAATCCCTTCTCACCAGATCCGGTCAGCACATTGAGTTGTGAAAATTTGTTCAGTACCTATCAGCCGCCATGCCCATATTTTTACGGACAGCTTGGTGAGTGATGTATTTCTACTGAGTACTGATTTAAGTAACGATGACTGCAGTCATTTATAGTTGATAGAATTGAGTGAAATTTACTCCCTATTCTGAAGTTTACTTCAATGTGTCCTTCAGCATTAATCTCTAGTAAGAGCATAACGTCTCTAAGCTCTATTCGTCCCACATTTTTTGCACAATTAGAATGATAGACAGGCAAAGATTTCAACTCATTTCTCCTCTTCTTAAGTAGTTTTGAAACAGCTGCCTCGTTATTATAATTCCACCAAAAATATGGAATGGATGTTAGACGAAGCAGACCATATTGCTCCATTCAGTACTTAATTTAATAGGTTTGCAAAAATGAATGAACAAAATCTACGAAACTAATCTTGAAGCTTATTTCATTCTTACGACGTTGTTGGCTGATTTCTTGTTCACCATCAATCAGATACCTTCAGGTGAAATAAAATGCAAAATAATATAAAAGAGATTTCAGCCTTTATCCTAATTGAGTGCTTAATATCTAGGTGAAATTGTGAGTTCTATACATAGACCAATGATTAAAATGTTTGTTTGTTAATATTATCCTTTACATATTAATCATGTCTGTAAAAAATTATTTATAACAAATGGCAGGCGTTTTGATAGCTATCATTAGCCCTTTAGTTGACTTCAGGCTTCACAGAGGGGAGGGGGAACATCAAAGTGAGAAGAATTCAGGAGGGGGAATAGAAATGTGTTTCAAAGATGTAAAAGAAACAGACACAAAGGCTCAGAAAGGGTAAGATGAGTAGTGGTAGGGGTCGAATATGACATGCAGTGAGGGTGATGGCTGTTTGAAGTGAGAAGTCAACTGGCAGTTAATAGACTTTTTTGCCGCATGAGTATACGTTGCCCAGGATGCACCACGTGGAGGTAAGTCTATCGCCCACCCCTGTCTGTAAAAAATAAAATTTTGACGTCAAATTAGCATATACATATTTTAAACTCGTGGATTTAATTGGATCGAATAAGATGGAGAAGCAACTATTACCTATAGGCCCATTTCTTCAATCCTTTCTGATTTTAGAAAAGGCTATCATATCCTGTTAGCTTTAAAGAGACTTGTAAGTGGATGGTTCTAAGCTTAACTTTGTCGAACTTTAAAAGTAGCTTTACTACTGGGATTAACGCTGCTTTTTATTCTGAACTTACACTGAATACTTCATTAAAGGTTCATGTGTCTCCTGGCCAAATGGAACAAGACCCTATTCAAATGTTCCCAATACTGAGAGGACCACAACAAAAATCTCTAGTCCAATAGACTATGGTACTTCAGTGTCATCCGGTTCCACAGTTTCCTGGACGACGGGAACAAGACCTTATATTAGCTTTCCAAGCACAACAAGCTCCTCCAAAATCACCAATACAATGGACTATGGGAGCCCAGCATCGTCTAGTGGCATTCTCAAAGAGGGCCTAGAGACTCACACCCCTTGTGTCTCAAGCGGCCAGGCGATAATACATCAAAGGCACCAGACAGGGGGCCAAGAGGATCTCAGGGGGACCTGCCAGTCACATAAGAAGCAGACACAACAGTCAGGACAGCAGGCGAAGAAGCAACGGACGGCATTCACCAGACAACAGCTGGAAGCTTTGGAGGGGGAATTCAGGACAAACACCTACCTCACTCGCTTGCGTCGTTACGAGGTGGCTGTTGCTTTGGGACTGTCCGAGAGGCAGGTAATTAAGTTGTTTTTGTCGGGGGAGGCCGAGGGGGTGGGGGGAGCGATGCTTTATAGTCCGAATTAACTTTGATGTCCTGGGTATTTAGAGCCAGTGTGATAATTTGAACCCATAATGCTTTTCTTACAAAATCAAACCTGTTTAATTAATATCAACAGCCTTCACAAACCTCAAAATAAAACTATAAACGTCATGTAGAGGAAAAACTAAGATTAAAATAAAAAAATATGTGATGCATTTATACTTTATTCGTTTAGTTGCGTATGTCTTTGTAATTAACTAAGTATAGTGTTTCAGTAAATTATAACAATGAATAAATTTTAAATGGAAACCAAAATTTTATTCCTCACTTTAGCTAATTAAAATTAGGTAACAAAATTGTTAGAAAGATCTTATCTTCTTCTTTACTAAAAGCAATAATTTTTCTGAAACTTGGCTGTTTTTTCCTAAGCTTGGAAGAATAAAATTGAAGATCAGTTGGAGATTTCAATAAAATTTGAGGTACAATAGAATGAAATTCAAATTTAATTAAATTATCTGATTTGTTTTCTTTCTTGAATGTTTGAAATCAGGGTACTGAAACTGAATCGGTTACATTTTAGACATTTCACTGCTAAAATGGTGAGCATGAAATACCTTCTTGTTAACACGGAGTGGGTCTGAGTTTCATGTCAATTAAAATATGTTTAATAAGGATTTATTTATTTATTTATTTCAAATGACAGGCGTTTCGATGGTTAACCATAGCCCCTTTAGCTGACTTCGGGCTTCACAGAGAGGAGGAGGAACATCAAAGTGACAAAAAGTTGAGAGGGTAGACAGAATAATGATTCACGGACAGGCACAAAGGTAGAGAAAAGGTAAGATGAGTACTGTGAAAGAGATGAAATATGACAAACAGTGGTGAGTACTGTGAAAATGATCGAATATGACATGGAGTCAGCTCATGGTAGTTTGAAGTCAGAAGTCAACTGCCGTAATATTGCCGTATGAGTATACGTTGCCCAGGGAGCACCACGTGGAAGTAAGTCTATCGCACACCCTTGTTTAATAAAGATTACTTGATGTTGATGGGCTTACTGAAATTTTAGTTGGTCATGAAATTGTAAAACCAATTGAAATGACGAAATATAAACTAAAGTCCACAGTTTAAAAAATTTTCTCCTCACCACAAACTTTTAAGATACGCGGCGTTTTAATAACTCAAAAATTGGTGGTTAAAAAACACAACATTTCATTAAAGTTGATGGAATATACAGAGCATAGCATGTTTCTTGTTTGAATTTAATAGATTAATTATTTGGAAATCGAATATGAATATGAAATGACCAGAGGCCTACTGCTCGTTTAAAACATTTAACTTAATCAGTAATCATATGGTTTCCAAATTAAAAAAATTGGTAATGAGACATATGTAAAACGTCAAGTTGAAAGTGATATTTACAGATGTATAAAAAATGCAGTGAAAATGTGCATCTCATTCCAATAAAAGTTTATTGCCTATTTTAGGTTAAGGTATGGTTCCAAAACCGTCGAATGAAAACCAAGCGATATAATGGTGAGTTTGTTTGAAACTGTTTGCGGGCTTTTGAAGTGAACACAATCGTGAATATTTATGTATATGTTTTTAGAAACTTTTTCTACGGAGACAAATCTTGCTAAATTCTGCGCAATTTAATAGATGAATTCCATTTTTCATACCAAAACTAACCAAGGTTTCGTGTGTGTATATAAATTAATTTTATCAGTTTTTTCCATTTTTAGAATAATTTATGTTTAATAAACATTGCAATATTTTCTCTCATTTTTTCATCACCTGTTCCAATAAAAATATTGGTTATGTTTTTACAAATTTAATATTTACTCACTTGGAATCTACATGAAACATTATAAGTTAATAGCCTTATTGAGGAGCCTTGTTCAACAGCCAAGATGAAACGGTTCCAAAAATTTTACGATTTAAGTGAAATTTCTGCTAAATTCAACTTATTTGAATTTATATCGACTCAAAAATGATAGCATTTCAACTTTCATCTCTAAATTTTGTAATACATAAAAGACATTTATTTGGGTGGAGTTCTTTATCTTAACTATCGTAATGTAAACAATTGTTTCGTTTTATTGCATATCTCAAGACAATACATTGGTCTTTGCTTAGTCTAAATAGCCATTGAGTGTGACTCACAAAGAAAAGGGATTAGACAGATTTTCTATGCATTTTTCCCATTTCACGCAATTCTTATTCCATTGAGTTAGGGTAAATATAATTTAGCTAAAACTTAAGTCCCATAATTCAAATAATTAAAGAGTTGCGAATAGACAATTAGGTAAAAGAAACACCGAATCTGGACATCTGAATGTCGCAATGCAGTGAGTATGCTCTCAACCGACATATTCTGCACACAATATAAACAAATAATTGGAGGAACATAGAATGAAGTTATGTTGCAGCAATACACCTTCTGACAAACGGTGATTATATCTCAGTAAAATTCAAGCTCCTTTACAATAAGACAATTTATCTACTCGGATGATAACCAATATATATTCTGGAAATATGCCCATGAGTATAAATTATATATCTGCGGGCAAGATCACGATATATAGGGAGTCTGGAATAGCTTCCAAAGGAGAGGGGGTAGCAGGACCAAATATATGATCGGCTCAGTTAATTAGTGGAAGAGACATAAGGGGGATCCAAATCTGATCATATAGTCCAATTGGCGCTAAGAAAAGAATGTGTACAGGTGAATGATGGGGATCTGGAGGAGAAGGAGAAACAGGTGAACCTTGATCATAAGTCAATATTCTTTAATCTCGTCTGGCAGCAATTGGGGCGCTTCCTTGTGACAAGAATCTTCGTCAGTATGCTGGCCGCCTTGATCTTCTGATTCTGATTTCGTAGTTGAAGGCGGGATATCATCAAGGATCCAAGTAGTAGATGTAGATGAAGCTAGATTGGGATTTAAAGAAGAAGGAGGAGAGGGTGGCGTGGAATTGGAAACTTGAAGGGAATTGGGAGATTGAGCAAAACAGTGACGCAGAGCTAATAGCCGTCGAAGTAGATAGTGACCCCACTGAGATGAATACCATTCCTGGGAGAAACCCCTGTAGAAGAAAAGCCGAAACAGTTAAGTTATTGAAAGGGTATTAAGATGGAAGAATCATATGATTTTAGCAATCTTGGAACATACTACGATTGATTCTATCTATCCGACATATTTATTCACTATTCTTGCTGGGATAGTTACACCGTTCCCATGTCCTTAATTAATAGAATATTCGACTTTCATAGCTTTCTCCTTTATATTCAATGGAAAAGGATCCTCAAGTCTAATATCTAGTCAAATTTTGAAGATAGAGCTACATTCATCTGATATTTCAATTTTATCAATGAGCGTTTCAGTGAAATTTCTCGTGTACATAAATTTTATCAACTGTGAAAAAAACCCCTAATTTGGAAAATTGAGCGTGAAAGAATGGACTGTCATATCCGGCAGAAGTCAAATTCACGAATTTTATATCTGAGGTCGCATATCTGGTGAATGACAGCAGTGTCAAAATTTGGTTAAGAAAGAGGCGTAAAACCCAGAATTTCCAGTCAAGGAATTGAGAAAATGAGAATTATTTTTTCCTCATGATCTTGAATATTCAACCAAAAATTAAATATTTTTAGGGTAATTCGTACGTTAAGTAAGCAGAAATAAATATTCTCGAATAGAGTGCCGATAGGAGATCCCTGGCTAAATCTTAATTACACTATTCACTTGGTACTTGTGAATCCTTAAAAGAAACAGAGGTCTTTAATTAAGCAACTAGTCGCGACTCTTCTCTAATTTTCGTGAGGAAGTTTTAAAATTAAAAATAACAATTAATTATAGGTATCTGGTGACTGCTGGCCCTAGAATCCTTTTTACTCCAGATTCGGAGTTACGGGGAGAAAGACAAGACTATAATTCCCTCCATTTTCTGCATCTGGTCAAATGACCTTATTATCACAAATATAACAGGAAAATACAGCAAATTACTTAATATCAGCCTCTGAGATAATTGTAACTCTGCAAACAGGTCGTGAATGACTAATTGTCCTCTCCACTAGAAGGTGTTCTTTGGCGAAGTGGGCAGATGGCATAAGTTCCTGAGGTACCTCGGGTACTACGACTCCATGATTGACAGAGGTACTAACAATGGCTACTCCCATAACTGCGACATCTTCTTCATTAGCCGATGAATCCATTGTGTAAGGAGCTGAAGCAGAAGCATGCCTTGATTTCAATAGCAGCTGACGTCCTCTCAACAATCGACATTCTCTTGCTGGTTGTGGTGGTAGGGCGTTGAAGAGAATTCGTTGAATTTGGACCATTTCTGGGACAAGATCTTCCATTACTTCTGCTCGTAGTACATTCTCATCCCAAGAAGCTCTGAATCGAATGGGAAACAAATTGATATAAATTAATGAGGATTAGTTTTCAAAGTATTATAAATGCAAGAATTTTATTGAGATATTCCATCAGCTGATATCGTAATACAAATTAGAGCTAGAGCAAGTTAGCCTTAAAGGAAGATAACATTTTGTATAGAAGCTCACTTCGCATTTCCATAACTATTTCTTTAGTGATCTGGCAGTTTTTTTGAAGTGCTTGACAAGAGGGATAGTCAGTCACTTGAAAATAATCAAAACAAATTTTGGTAAATATGAGAGACGAACCTTTCAAATCTCAAAATTTTATTATCCTTGATCAAATGGGAATCTCCTTTTGTTCAAATTAAAACGCAACTTGGGTGTTTTTATGACTTTCCAGCTCATCTTTATCTAAGTTACAGCCCTCAAACTCGGGAAAGAGGAGTAAAGAGAATTTTTATCTCTAACCGCAGTGTTTATTAAGAAAATACAATTATTTGCACTGAATTGGGGTGCACGATAGACTTACCTCCACGTGGTGTACCCTGGACAACGTATATTCATACAGCAAAAAAGTCTATTACTCAGCATTCGACTTCAATTTATCATGATTAGCTTGAAACGAAGATATAAGAGAAATCGCCCTCGTCAGGGCGAATCATAACTTCTACAGATCCTTCAGTGGAATGCTGAAGGGATGTCATAGAACAAAAAGATCCAAATCCAGAAAACTCTACAAACCTATGATGTAGCCATGTTCGCAATATGGAAGCAAACCTAACCACAGTTTTTATTAAGAAAATACAGTTATTTGTACTGAATTAAATATAAAAATATATTTGGTTGGCGTTTAGACAGCAATTTCAGGTAAGGCAACTTGGCTGGTGAGGTTCAAAATACAGAGTCATGGGAGAAGCTTGGGAGTTTCTCCCGGGGATAATGAATAGCAATGATATAAAGTTTTTTAAGAATTTAACCAATTGACTGGTTAATAACTGAATTAACTGATCATGCCATGGGAATACATTTTTCTGCTGGCCAAAGTATTGGAGCTTACCATCAAGATTTTTCCACAACAGAATTGGCTCAAGTTCATTTAAGATAAGCTGTCATACGTAAATAACATCCTTCTGACTTTTTCATTTGTATCAACCAACAGAAAGCGTAATGGCTTTTTTTCATATTGGGTCTGAGAATGCTTATTATAAGCTTCATTCAAATTACTGTGAAGTCCCCAAATCACGTTATGGAAAGTGAGAAGGTACCTTGACTGCATTTAATCAATGATTTGATAACAGAAATTAATTGATGCGGTCATAAGTGCACCATGGACAACAATTTAGCGGCACCTTGACTTGATGATCGTAAGCATTGACCATTGCACTATGGGCAGTAGCAATGCCTCTAAGTGGTTTAATCTGTCAAGTTCTGTAGGCATTCACCGCTTGTTTAGATTAACGTTTGCAAATACCCACTTTACTTACTTTCAAACTCATTGGATAATATTGGCCTTAGTGCAGATTAACTTATAATTTAATTAGAAATTTAATTCTAACAGTCCTACTTATATAATTTAATCATTTGATTTCTAGGGCAACAGTGTCAAGTCATATGGGCATGGCACCTTTGACTTCTCTAATTAGTTTGGAGAAGATGAATTTTGAATGAACCACTTGAATAAAATATCATACACATTAATATTTACAAATAAATTACATAATATTTGCAATTCTCTTAAAATAAATTAAATTAAACAATAACCAGAAGCATCTACCTCCAATAACGAAATGATTTGGAAATACAATTTCAGGATTGAGCATTCTTGTTAATGAAGTATTCCTTAAAATATCTTAGACTTTGTTGATAAATGTTAATTTAAATAAATTTTCGTTAAGAAATCATATTTATGTCTTGATTTTGCTTGAAATACTATCGACCATTTAGCCTGTAAAATTCAGAAGACACATCGATTATTCAATTCTTACTCTTTCTAATATTCCTGCACCCTCTTTCACAACGCGTTTATCCGTTAGTGTTCATATCTGTTATTTAACAGATCTGATTCTTAATTGATGCTAGTCAATAAATTTTGGCGGATTCTCAACTCTATTTTCTGAATCATCTGTTGTTGTCTATTAGGCGAAGCAATGCCATCGTTGTTATATTCAAGCAGAAGTACATTTTATAACTTGGAAATCACGTTAAACGGTATAATAGGGCAACGAATTTCAAATAACGAACCAACCTGTCATTCCAGTACTTTTCTGCAATTATCTGGGGATCTTCAATAGGGAACAGGAGAGAACATCGCCACGTTCGAATAAAGGGTGAAATTAAGCCTGAAGGGTATTGTTGATTATTCGACTTTGACAACTTGCTAATGGCGATCTCGAAACCGGACAGATTCTCTCCCTCCCCGGAACTATTAGAATGAAATGAAATAAAAAACCATTAAGTAAAATATAATAGGACGTGAAAGGTTTATCAGTTGGAAGAAAGTCACTTTTCTACTTAGGGGCTTGAGTAACATTTAAAATGAATCAAACGTCAATGACAAATGGACAAAATATCTAGTTTCAACGAAAAATTCATTTATTTTAAATAAGTATCATCATTATTCAAAACAGACAATTTAATTTCCATTATCATTAATTTGACATGTGACAACGGCCTCTTGCTTCTAATATAAACTGATGATTTTCAAATAATTGTTCGCATTTATTCGTAAAAGTTCTACTCAAAGTAATATTATATAACAAAAAAGATGATTGTGATTGCACGCTCAATGTCAAATTGTCAAGATGAAATTGTATGTTAAAGACTTCACGGTAAATAAGGCTTGACAGTCTGTCATATGTCACTGTGATAGAAAGAGGGCAAGCATTAATTCCTACAGACAGTTGAAATCAATCGACCGGGTTTCTTTGTTCTGCATAATTTAGGATTAAATACATTGTAATTTAATGTTATTTTTAATCAGGAGATGGGTGGTTGAAAGGCTTGGAAGACTTTGAGATAGTGGTTTTAATCAGCCCTTAGTTTAACTGATAAGCAGAAATCTTGATTCGAAATGTATAAGTGAATATTTCTGTTGAATATTAGGTACATTTGCACTGCAATGTATATAAATCGTGAACGCATCACGAAAATGAATACCTCTGAAATTAATACAAATCATTTCTGCAAATCTGAAGGCCTCTTACTCTGGACCGAGTCAAGATATTTATCCCATATCATCCAGATCGCATTCTAATAAGAAGAGTACACTGAGAACCATGAGATTTACTGCATTTACAGCTTGCTGGATGCATTAAAGGAAATATTAGCAGAACAAAGTGTTATTAAAAGGGTGATAACTTAAAGTAGCTAGCAGCACAAAATAAAGGTTGGAGCTCCGCAAACCGAACCCTAATCCATCGATCTATCACAATCCAAGCTGTTCTTCCAAATCTCTCACCTCACTCACTGTTCCTATCTCCTTTCTTCTCTCATCCGTTTTGTTCCATCCCATATTACTCTTGGTTTTCTCACTGGGGTAACGCAGTTGCATATTGTTAGCCTTGGGTAGATGATTAGTTCTACTGAGAGCCATCTTGTTCAATTTGGTCTGGATTCAAAAGTAGCTTAACTTAGGGTTAAGAGCTACTTCTAATTCAAGTACCAGCTCTAATTTATTTGATTTTAGTAGAAAATGTACATCTAAGCTTGTTTTTATGTCTATCTCTCCTTTATTCACGCAGAAGTAGTAACTTTTCATTGCTACCTCCTCTTTTATGGAGAAGGTCTTCCCATTCATTTAAGTCTGATATCTTCCTTTTATTACCATAATTAATCAATTAGCAGAAGTAAGCAAGTATTGCCGTGAATGAACTTGATGACCGCGTTGGATTGTTAGTTAGGTTAAATGTCCTCACATATTACAATCAGCGATAGATGAATTAAAATCAACAGTTTTAGAAGAGAATTTACTAAAAAGTTAATTAATTCGTAAGAAACATTTCACATTCCTCAAACACTTTTGGTATAACATAAGTTTGCGAGATCAAAACGTTCCGTTAATTTTAAAAATTCTGCTTCATAGTTTAATAAAACAGGTTTATTTCAATTTATAACTCAGACAAGCTCTAGCACAAACTGAGGAAGAAAGACGAAGGAATAATGCGCAAACACAGCGAAAACTCTCACAAATATGCATGCAAAGAGAAGGGAAGCTATGGGAGAGATTGATTAATAATTAACTTTACGTTTTAAAATTACTCTGGTCAAGCAATAAGTATCTGTTAAAATGCTGCATTCTATTTGACCGGAAAGCCTGATGTGAACTGAAGTCCACAGTCACGTGAAAATGTCAGACAATTGGAAAAGTTATTCAGTAAAACGTATGTGCTTTTAAAAACTATTAGAACTGAAAAAAGAGGGGAATGCTTGAAGTACATAATATCACATTTGGAAAGGATAAAATTGTAAATCTATATTGTAAATTGATAGGGGCACCAATCGAAAAAAGATATAATATTTAAGTGGGTTGGGGTGTGCGATAGACTTACCTCCACGTGATGTACCCTGGGCAACGAATACTCCTACGGCAACAATGTCTATTAACCGGCAGTTGACTTCTGACTTCAAACTACCATCACCCCCACTGTATGTCACATTCAACCCCTACTACAGTACTCATCATACCCTTTCTGTGCATTGGTGTCTCTCTGTTCCTTTTACATCTGTGAATCGCTCTTCTGAACCCCACCCCTCGACTTTCTTCTACTTTGATATCCCCCCCCCCCTCTGTAAAGCCTGAAGTCAGCTAAATGGCTAATGATAGCTATCAAAATGCCTGCCATTTTAAATAAATAAATATATATATTTAAGTGGGTAAAATCAATAAATGCTTTTTCAGAAAATCGCTTAAATGGGAATGCCTCAATGGAGGCTCCAATAAGCCCCACTCTTACTAATCTTTGCTTTCCCTTCCTGGGAAAGCACTTTTTGGAGCTCATGCTGGTTTAGGGAGTGATAGCGTTCAACCTCTTCTTAGAGAAACACAAAATCGGCTAGCCTTTGCATTGGCCAAGCATAGCGGAATGAGTAATAATACTCACTGCATTAACCCACACAACAAGCAGTAAAAGAAAAAAAGATTGTATAAACATATTAAAAGTAATTTACGATTTGAACTAACTTGCTAGGGATCATGTCAACTTGCTTCTGGACATCGAATGTTACACGCAGAGTGAAATATCACGTATAACGTAGGATTTTCCAATTTTCACTATCTCAAAGAGTTATCCAATGTTTCAAGGAGTTTTGCTTTAATCTTGCAAAATAAAAATGATGTCTTCTGGCAAACAAGGAAGTATTACGAAATGGCACAGTGCTATCAAATCCATTTTCATGATAATAAAGTAAATACATGGAGGTGAAGTAACTAACACTTTAAGTGATTAGATTACACTAATTGTAGTAAAAGACTTTAGTCTTTATATTCACAAGACAACCTGATTTTGAATTGTAAGATTAATTAACAAATTTCCTTTGCTGTAAGCATAGAACAGAGATGAAAGCTGATTTAAAGATTTTAACTTTTACATAAAAATGCTTACAAATAGTATCCGTTTTTACCAAACTAACATGATAAATTTGGTTCTATTTTTTCCCACCATTAATTTGGAAAAAAATAGGTTTTTATTTATTGCAACGAGTGTAAATGGATCAAGGTCAGTATGAAACACGACAGAATGGTCTAGTTAAAAGCGTACGAAAAATGCTATTATAAGTCAGTTTAAATTGTAAATAAGAATGTGCGGATTGAGAGTTTACTAATTTTAAGAACTCAAGTAAAATATTTTCATTGTTCTCAACCTAAACTGGGGGAGAGGCAATCAGCACTCAAATCATCGGCTAGTCAGTCATTTTGGGCGTAACTAAGTGCTCATAAGAAAGCAAACTTGTTCTTACTGGGATCTTGAGTAGTTTTTACTTAATAAGGTGGAAATTTAGAGTCATAATGTAATGATTTGGAGAAAATAAATTAAGAAAATACAAATCGCAGACTTCTGATTCAACTCGCAACTAGATTCATGCTATATTTTAATTTGGGGTGGGCGTTAGACTTACCTCCACGTGGCGCACCCTGGGCAACGTATACTCATACGGCAAAAAAGTTTATTAATCGGCAGTTGACTTCTGACTTCAAACTACCAAGACCCCACTGCATTTCATAATGGACTAATTTTACAGTACTCACCTCACCTTTTTTCTACCTCTGTGTCTGCCTGTCTCTTTTACATCTGTGGATCATTATTCTGTCCCCCTCTCGACTTTTTGTCACTTTGATGCTTGTCCCCCTCTCGACTTTTTGTCACTTTGATGTTCCTCTTTCTTTCTGTGAAGCCCGAAGCCAACTAAAGGGCTAATGATAACTATCTTGATGCACGTCATTTGAAATAAATAAATATTTTAAGGTAATCGATATCGATTAGAAATAATAATTTGAACCCAACGCTTACAAATTGTTATTCAATAGCCCTCATTAAATTGCATGAACTTAAGTGTCTGCTCAACTAACTAGTTTGAAAGAAAACTTTCTTTGAGAAATAGGATGAAATAAAGGGAGAATCTACCAAAGTGATTCAACCCCCCCCCCCAAACCCGAAATGTGATTTATAATGATTTAAACGAATATATCATCAACTCATAACAACTTAGAAACACATTTAAGATGAGTAAATTAGTTAAATGATCTTAGCCGAAAAAGTACATTAGCTTACTCAGTGCTATACGCCTTCAGCGCTTCTTTCGGTAGCGAACTCCAAGAAGGTTTTCCAAAAGAGCCTTTGGAAGATGGACTTAAGGAACTTGGTCCGGTGCATGCTACCAAATTTCCTCCAGAGCTAGTTCCGACACCAGAAACATTATTTGTTGAAGCAGATCTTGCCAATGAGCTTCCACATTCTCTAAGGAGCATCTCAACCTGTTGTTTGAGCCAAAAAATTGGATCACCGTCGGCTGAACAGAGTAGAGTTGGGAGTCGAGGAATGTCGACCTTTTCACTATCGAGACGTGTCTTTAACACGATGCTTTCGGTCACCTGGTTAAGTGAAAGATATTACTTTACATTAGGAGGGCGAATACATTGAGGAAAATCAGATTAATGTCTGTCTTAAGGCATTTCCCATTAGGAGCAACAGAAAAGGAGAAACGTTTGTGTGGGAAACTTTTAACGTCCCTTTAGCACGCCTTAAACTTATTGAAGTTTCTAGGCAGAATAAATTACGAATTTCAAATTCAGTCATAATAATGTTCAATTTCAAAATCAGCAAATCGATTTAGTACAGTGCTTTCCATTAGTTTATCTTTAGCCTTACCTCCACGTGGTGCTCCCTGGGCAACGTATACTCATACAGCAAAAGAGTCTATTAACCGGCAGTTGATCTAACCCTAACACGGCAAAAAGTCTATAAACCGGCAGTTGACCTCTGACTTCAAACTACCATGACCCCACTGTATGTCATATTTCTCACTTCAAACTACCATGACCCCACTGTATGTCATATTCAACCGCTTTCACGATACTCATCTTACCTTTTCTCTGCCTTTGCGCCTCTTTTACTTCTGTGAATCGCTCTTCTCTTCCCCACCCCTCGACTTTCTCCTATGAATCGCTCTTCTGTTCCCCACCCCTCGACTTTCTGCTATTTATCGCTCTTCTGTTCCCCACCCCTCGACTTTCTGCTACTTCTCTTCTCTTCCCCACCCCTCGACTTTCTCCTACTTTGATGTTCCTTTCCTCTGTGAAACCCGAAGTCAACTAAAGGGCTAATGATGACTATCAAAACACCTGCCATTTGAAATAAATAAATCTTTAGCCTCGTTTACCTAAATGGAATATACAAAATGTCAAGCCGCCTTTTTCATATAATGCTAGGCTAATTAATGAACTTAATTACCATTTAATTCTAATACTTGGATTAAAGTTGCCAAATCCAATAGGGATTAAATTTTAAATATTATCAGAAAAGTTAGCATGATTGACAACATAGATTAGTGTATAGTTAAGAGCTAATGGAAAAAGACGTCCTGAAATTGTCATTATATTAACTGACATGTGGATTTAAGCATGAGCTACACAAATCCACTCAAAGTGAGATAGATGCAAAGTTGGCCGAAATTTAAAATTTGATTTTGAGCAAAGGAAGAGCAGTCCCTCCGGAGGAAAATTTTATTTCACGTCAAATTGATGTAACTTTAAATTAGGTCAAACCAAGAGGTTAATTACGCCGACGCAATTAAACATTTCATTCGGGTTGGTACTGATTATGAAGGGTTTGACATGGTGTGCTTATTTTTTTCCTCACAATTTTTAGCCGGAATGATCCTGTAGGCCATTTATTTGAGAAAAGTTTTGTCTAAATACGAAAATTAGCGCGAAAATAGCTGAAATTTTTCCCTGTAAACCCCTCAATTTTCTTCCTTTCATGGAATGGGTATATGCGAGTATCTTGTATAAGAAATCAACTCGTTGAGGCTATTTTGGTAACATCGCGGACACAAGAGTGGGCGTTAAGCTGGAACAAATAGCGCTTTCAACTAGGTTAAATGACCAACGAACAAATATGCAAATAGCCTTAGTCCCCATTCATGTTTGCGTCAATTTATTCTGTGGCAGCTTTTGGTGCTTCACTTCACAAGGGCACAGTTGTGGAAACATAGTTCAGAATGTATTTCAATTGTTCCTTCAAAAATAACCGCCAATGAAATATTAAAATAAAGTTCTAAATACTGGGTAGTTTAAAAGGCAATCACAGAACGAATTATACTTGAAAATAAGTTCTTGCAAAACGAAACTAGAACTATTAGGTGGCAAACATTTGTTAAAGTAAATAAATTAAACATTGGGGAATAATTATAGTGAAGGGAGAAGCGTCTTAATTTAGGGGTATTTATTCGGACAATAAAATAAATGGAGAAAAATTTTAAACTTAAGCCTTCCGGCTTAAAAAGAAAAGCAATACTTTCTTCAATAAAGCAGAATGCGAACAGTTTTGATATAAATAGGCGAACTCTGGACATGTTGAAACTTGACAATTCCCCAACGTTTATATAAAGTTCCTTCACTTAAAGTCTCAAGTTTAATTGGCCATGTCAAATAATGGGGAAGGCGGGGGGGGGGGGGGGGTTGGAGAAAAGGGAAAACCGTGGGGAAAGAAGCTCAAGTCGGTGATGGCGAACGGGTATAAAAAAATCAATATTTGCCGTAGCTTTCTTAATTTATGCAAAGGCAGCATAAACCAACGACTTCATCAACAAATAGAACTGTACTTTACAGCAGTACACGCATCAACGTGAGAGCACGGATGAGAGATTAGAATCAATGTGCACATATATGCGTATTTGCGTTCTCATACTACATGAAAAGGAAGTAATCATTGTGACAAATTGGCTCTTTTCTTCTCTCACAATTCCATGCTTTATCGTTTCATCTTCCATATTCTTTTATATATTCATGTTCTTTCTTTTTTGAATTCTATAATACACCCATATTTGAATCCCTCTTCCCATATTTACCTTACTCGATGTAATAACAAACCTGATATGAAATGACAGCTAGGACAAAACAGTGTTGCGTCAAATTTGTCTAGAAGTATTGAAAAATCTTTGGGTTTGCTTTGCTTTCACGATTTCTAATGATTTTTAATCAAATTTGAAAGTGAATTTATCGAGAAAATAGTAAGCACTTTAGAAATTGAGGTAACCATGTAGAACTAATTTTAGCTGAAATGACTCTGGTTGAGACACAATGAACTAGACGACTGATCTTATTCTTTCATATTTACTCGAAAATTACAAAAGAATAGCTACTCTGGAACAAAACTCCTACATTAAAGCCTGTTTATGTGCAACTGATGAGATCTCTGGAAATATACAGATATAATCTCTTTTCTAAGTCAGTGATGACAATTTCAAGATGGCTGCATGCAAAAGTTATATTAAAAAAGTGTTTCTCCACTGCTTGTACTTCTACCAGTTAAAATGTTGTCGATACGCAAGAGAGAACAGAAGTATGAGTTAATCTTGCGTGGAAATGACTTAAGAACCCTCGGATTGCAATGGTGATAAGTACTCCAATCGCTCAAGAATCACTACATCTCTATTTTGCAGCGTTAATCTACTACTGAAATTATCAATAGTGCAGTTCATTGCTGCATAGTACGGAAAGAATTTCACAACTTTTCTCGAGCTAAAATTGGTGACTGCAGGGCTTTGGATCTTTCCCAAAAGATGAGAACATGAAGCCCCACTGTCGTTGACAAAACTGCGCGAAGACCACTGAAACGAAAGCTTAGTTGTAAACGGAATTGCTGCGTCTCATCTTCGAAGCTTTATTAGGAAAATGTCTCGCATTAATAAGACCTAGAGAATTGATCAATCACTATACTGCGAGAAAATTTAATACCCAGCTACGAACACAAACGTGGAGTGTTTGACAAAATCTAATACCCCAATTAAGATCATTGTTCGCAAACCTTAAGATTCTTGTGGGGTCAGAAAACTTCCGAATTTCTTCGTCGCATTATCCATTAGTTTTTAACACGGATCTATTGAGAGTCGTTGATGGGTGAGACCCGGTGTAGTTAATAGTGCTATTCAGCAAATTTAGTTATATTGATATTGTTTAGGAACCAAGAAAGACCTAAAAATCTACTATTCTAGCTAGTTTAATTAAAAGGATCTATCTATATCGTCACTATTAGTGGAAAATCTCAGATTACAAGACCTACAATTCTCTAAATATGATGCATATATCCTCTTCATTCAGAGGATATTAGTATTTATTGCTATCATTACTGTAATTTTTACAATGGTTTAATAACAGCCTACCACAAAGATATTTGGAGCATAGGTGATGAGAGCACATAAGCATTTCTGGGCCGCAGCCTGTTCAGCCAGGTCCTTCAAATCCATTCCACCAAGTGAATCGAGTTTTTTCCGCCTTCTTGCACTGAAGTTCACGAGGAGAGGAGACACTGACGTTGAAGAGCCCATTAGATTTGAAAAATGGAAAAGTGAGGGGGCCAAGCAAATTGCCAGATTTAGAGCACTCATCTAGAAGAAGAATCATAATTTCATTGGGAGCCAAGTTTAGCATAATACGGTGTTTAATTTGGTCTTAACAAGCCGCTCTCTAACCCAAAGTGAGCGTTGGAAGAAATCATATTGATGAAATTGATGAGGTTTAAAACATTTGATGACAGCGTTATTTCCACATTAAGATTGACAAGCTCTCTTAAATTTTATTAAGCTGTAATGTTTTTCCCACAGTCTCCCTACTGAATGGACTTAAGTGGATTGTTATGATCAATCGTTTTATGTAAGCACAATGTTGGGGACTTTTAACTTCGTAATTTCATAATGAAAATCCATAATAAAAAATTAATCTATAAAATGAACTCTCTCCACCTAAATAACTGAGCATCGAAGGTAGAAACAGAACAAGAGGATGAATGACTTTCAGACTCAGGCGCAGTGTTTGAAGGGTCAAAGGAAACTCATCGATTATTTTCGGTCCTCAGAATAGACCTCTTTTCATGTAGTTCTGTAGATCATAGTTATCGACTTTTAAGAACGCTCCTTTCCATCTTCATCCACTCTTTTAGTCACAAAGGACTTGCAGCGGATTGCTACTTTATTAAAGCCTAACTGACTCAGAAATCTCTATGGCAGATTCTCCTACATCTAGCTAGACTCCCAGAACCAGCTAAGCTATAGCCCAGCTATCAAGGAAACAGACGTGTAGCACGGAGCACGTTTATTCAGGACGTATATTGCGGATTACGTGTACACGCATGAAGCTACTCATGATCAGGATGGGGGATTAGGTTAAACAGAGGTTGATGATTGGTCACTGTTTGTACGGTCACTGCACACAGAGTTGTACGGCCGCACCTCCCAATCCTGGCGAGCAGACATGCAGGCATACGATGACGCACACAGCGATAGCGTGTCCACAGACTAACCGACTAATTCAATTTGTGGCTCATTGTACTTAACTCTTTAATATCCAGTTAGAATATAGCAAACATATACCCTTAGAAATTCGCTTAATAGTCAGTTAATTCCGAAATTAAATAAATTCTTATAAAAAATATTTAAATTGATTGGTTGTGTTGAGTTATTTGTAAAGATGCTTCTGAAAAATGATCAAAGTGGTGATGTTAAGTAGAAGGTTGAAGTGAGTTAGAATGGCAGTATTTGCAAATAGAATAAAAGATTTATAATTTTATCTTAAATCTTAGTCACTTTCAAACCGGAAAGTGTAAAGGTTGGATGCTACTCAAGCTCATGTAGTTCTAGTTGCAAGATTTCGATTTATGCACCTCAAGCTTACAGAAATTTGTATTAATACTTATACCAAAATATTTATAGTTCTGAAACCAAAGATGAGATAAATTTTGTTTGCATAAAATTAAACTAAACTAAGAGCCGAAAATCAATGGATTTGCTTCGTGGGGGCAGCGAATTATCTTATAATACGACATTCACCTTTAGTGTTTTCTAATGTGAGAGCCTTTAAACCCACTTTAATTAGCCCCGATTACGTACGTGTGTGCGAGCGTGTGGGTGTGAGTGATTCATCATAAATTAATTGTTGCGAAATTAGATTTAATGATTCGAGTGGCATGATTACAAAATCAACTTCTGAATCCCAAGTGGTACACAGACTAAGGGGTACTAAAATTCTAATGGTCGAAAGTGAGGTGACATATCCAAACTGAAAAGACTTAAGAATCAATGCTTTTATTATCTATTTTTGAACTAGTAATTCACTAAAATCTCGGAATGCGATATCATTTCTATGATCGAATACAAACATTCCACTTCACTTCATTTGGCCATAACGCAGGAGCAAATGATTGAGTACCTGTTCACACCCAGCTCAGCCTCACAAATTCAACGATATTCCGCGCTTACACTTCATTACCACACTCTCCCCAAGAGTTCTTAATTCTCCCCTTTCATCTTTCACCTTTCTTCTGTTTCTTGTTCTTCCTTCTCTAACTTTGAATGAGTATGATATAATGTGCCATAGTCGTAACGCTGGACACTCCAAATACGGTGAGTTCGTTGTCTGTTATTTTGCCATATCAGTAGAGGTTATAAAACTGGTGATTGTGATTCATACTTTGGCACGACTCAAAACGAACATGACAGCGAAACGTGGCGAATTTGAATACAGAACTCTACGAAGAGATCAATACCAACCTCAGTTTGAAACTTTGTATCAGGAATGTTTGTAAATGAAAGTGTCCTAGAAATTTCCCAGTAGATTAATCAGTAAACAGTCATAGATGACTCACTAATTAATAGATTTCTTATCTGCTAAACAGTTGTTTCAAGACTTACGAAAGGCGAAATTGAAGTCAATATCGTTTTCAATCATAGCATCCAAGTATTCCATAAAATGAACTTGATGCTACTCCATCAGAAGTAAACATGACCACAACAACACAAATAAGCAAGATAACCCAGTTCAGGAGATTAGAGGAAATATGATTTTGTTAATCCCCTACTTCCATCCGCCTTATTACCTTCAGGCTTCCTTATACACCAACATGTTCCCCATTCTTCTCTTGGAATGAGCAACAAAAAAGGGAAACACCAGGCGTTAAGTGGTGGAGTTTACCTGAGTAAGGGAGCTTCGTAGGGAAAGGGCGTAGAGGAAATGCAGGAGACTCTGAAGAGCAATTCGATTTTCATCCGGTAGACTGACCATTGCCAGCCGAAGTAAGTCAATTGAACAGACTTCAGGCGCATCTAAAATAACGCAAGGCTTATTAACGAAATGAGAATAAGTACAAGCGGTCAGTGCACTTCTGAAAAGTCGAAATTGAGAATGCCATTCGTACTGTTATCACCGAATTTAGTGTGAGCATCTTTTGAAATGCAGTGACAGGTAATCTTCAAACTGAGTAGAGGAGAACTACTTTTCTCAATCCCATGAACAATTAAATTGACACATTTCAGAATTTTCCCATTATTTCAATTTTAACTATCTTTACTTCACAATGCACTTGATGATGAACTAAAGTTTGCAACTGCTACCAGAACCGTTCATTCTCATGACATTTAAGCAATCTGAATGACGGTCATAAATGGAATTGGAACATAAAATGGGGTATTTAAAAGAAACTGAATGCGAGGGGCTTTGAAATTATTTAAGTAAAACCATTACTATTATTCATCAGAACAAGGAAGCAACTAATCAATCTTGAGAATACATCAATGGCTGCATTTCCGATTGCTAGCATCTAAAGGAGAATCCATTGTTGGTGAAGTTAGTTCACAAAGAGTCGTACTTACGATGGAAAATGTTAATAAGAGTAGAGGAGAGTTTGTTGGTGAGAAGACATTCTGGAAGTTCTCGAAAAAATTGTTTCAGTAGATCAGCCACATCATATGGTTGCCACTCATCGAAGGAATTCCAGTCTGAAAATGCAAAAAGATATTTAGTTCTATCTGTTATATGATGTATAAAGTACTGTTGGACTATTTATATCCACAGAATCCGAACAATAGGGATGGCGCAGGACTTCTTCAAATCCAGTAAGTAATTATCGAGAGACATATCAATCATACAGTCAATATGTGGCACCAATAGGCGATTAGATAGCGGAAATCACACTATCTTCGCAGTTAAATCCTATCGATTCCCGATCAACACGATGAAATACTCTTGGAGGCGAGGTATCACAGTCCAGAGATATTATTTAGATCAGAAAGTGCAATTAAGTGGTTTTTCATTTCGTACGAACTGTTAAAATAGCATCATGGCTTACATAGATGTACTTTTATTGCTACGAGCTTTTAAATGTTAATCTTCTTTTTAGTGCACTTTAAAACCATGAGCCTATAAGAGTCCACTGTCAATGAAAGCTATCTGATTTGTGTGAATTTGATCCACAGATAAAACATTAACTAGAAGAACACCTCGCTGCACTCACACCTTCTTTTTCTCTAACTAAAGATATAAATCCTAATCCACTTTTGTTTTATGTTATGTAGTATGACTCTATGCATCAGAGAGTACATAAAGTTCAAGGTGAGCTTCATCGACTTTTATATTAAAAGTAATCTTTATTTAATAAATAATGTTTGAGTTGGTAGTTTAGATTTCATCCCACTGGAAACAATTTATGCCTGGACATTTGGACATATTTTGTACTAGACCATTTCGCTTTTATAGGCATAGGCGATTATCGAATCAAATTAAAATAACTATATGTACACTAGCCAAACCTAGTTAACTCACACAACGAATAGTCGAACGACCAGAATGAGAAATTGGAAAACCGAACTTTATCGGTCCGATTTATTTCTACTTAATTCTAATACCGTCGTGAAATGGTTTTGTAGGAAGAACGTATATTGACTCTTTGAAACCTTATTTGCAAAGAGAGTGGATAGAAGAGCGTTAGGTTACGGCTTCAAGTAGAATCTCGATCTGTGTAAAATCTTCAGGAGGTGAATACTGAGATATAAGAGCAAATTTTCTTTTTACTCACACTGTTGTGTATTTCAAGGGTTATTTACGTGAGATAGTGGCTAAAAATCCAGCCCCCCCCCCCCCACACACACACACGGGTAATGAGATGAAAAATGGGCTGTTCCGGATTTGTCTAGAACCATATTAGGATTCAGGCAAGTAGGTAACGTAGTTTGACAAAAAATAAAAGAGATATCGACAGGAGACTTCAAAGTGGTGTACGATCGGATGCAGGACACCTCGAAACGTGAAGATTTCAGATGCTAATTTCAACTTCGCACTTAATTGTCCAAAATTAGACCTTGATTCTAGGTACCTTTTTTATCGTACAAGTGATAAGATCTGAAATTTTCTTCAATTACGTTGTGTGCAGTTGCACTTAAGGACCGGTAGGATGGTCAGTGTTCTCAAGGGTAATAATGGGTGCAGGTCTGTGTGTTAAAAAACCGATCTTGAAACTAAATAAAATTTCTCTTCTTTGCTGACCAGACTCTAGTCCCTAGAGAAATACTTAGAATTTAATTAAGAGGGAGAATGACAATAGGCTTTAATATATTAATATTTAATTGATCAAATGAAACCATTCGAAAGGTTAATTGTCGGCAGCACGATGATTCCAAACAAGCGAAATTTAATTTATAGTTGCACTGTTACTGAGTTAGGAAATACTTTGACCGTACAATCAGTTGACATTAAAATAGAAGTAATTGGAGAGTCGATTTCAAAATAAATTGCGAATTTGACAAGGAAATTAATGATTTTGAATCTTTTAGGATTGATTATCAACGTAATCAGTCTTAAAGAAAAAATCATCTGTAATATGTAGATAAGGTTATTTTACAGTGTAAGCATTTAGTTTCTTTTTAGAAATATGAATACTTGCAATTATATGCCCCGAATTTTTTCATTCATGCTAAATACACTTTAAAACATAAGTATTTTAAATTGATAAAGTAATAAACCTCGATAAAGTTGTATGCAATATCTTTCAACATTTTCAATTGGAATGTATTAGAAAATCAAATTTCGATTCGCCAACCCATTTATTCATGCAAAATGACTCCCCATATACTATAAAGTTGAACATGATAAAAATTTTCAATCGCATTAACCAAAGCAAAATATTTCAGATTCGAATCCGATATTTGGGATTCTCAATCGTTACTTTGAATAACTTCATCCTATTCATGCAATAAAGACAACCTTAAAAGTCAAATCGTCTTAACTGAAATTTATGAACTTAATTAGAGAGGATCAGTTGTATAAGTGAATAAGTAATTGGACTCTAACGATACCGACTCAGCTTTGAATCGACAGTAACAACGATTTTTTCAAAAAATATTGACTTTTTAACCTTCTAAGACCTAATTCTCTCAGAATTTGCCTGATATCTGTGGGACACGTTATCGCTCTGTGCGTCATCGTATGCCTGCATGTCTGCTCGCCAGGATTGGGAGGTGCGGCGTACAACTCTGTGTGCAGCGACCGTACAAACAGTGACCAATCATTAACCTCCGTTTATTTAACCTAATCCCCCATCCTGATCATGAGCAGCTCCCTACGTGTACGCACTTTATCTGCAGTATACTCACTGAATAAACGTGCTCCGTGCTACACGTCTGTTTCCTTGATAGCTGGGCTATAGCTTAGCTGGTTCTGGGAGTCTAGCTAGATGTTGGAGAATCTGCCATAGAGATTTCTGAGTCAGTCAGGCTTTATTAAGGTAGCAATCTGCTACATATCTCAAATAAGTTTAAGCTTTTAGAATTGGAGACTAGTTAAGAAGGGAGACCAGCCTCAGTTAGTTTTGAGATGTTAATTCATGGAAAACTTCCAGAAAGCATATTACAAAGTGTAATATACAACGAATTTAACATTTTTGGAGTTTGAGTGAAACGGAAACTTCATGTGTTTTCAAGAAAAAGTTTGTGTAAGATATGTGATTGAAGTTTTGTGACTAAATAAAAATGTTAATTATATGAGTGCACCTCTATGCACTTCCTTAGGCACACTGGCAAAACTATTAAAAAATCTAGGAAAATTGGATTGAGCTTCTTTTAGTAACTTAAACTAGCTTCTCGTGGATTTGAGATAACAAAATGCACCCGAAGTATTCAAGAAAACCAACGCACAGCTTTCTAAGTCAGCGAAACGATGCTACTAAAACTTATGCCTTACTTTGAGCGTCCTTGACCTTTGCACGTGTGTGTTTCCATCGATTAGCTGAATTTCTCAAAGAGTGATATTCAGACAAAGCTGAGTCTAATGTAGGTAATTTACGGTTAATCGACTGATTTTCATGCTATGAACTTCTCATTTACATTAAAAAATTATAACACTTGATAGTAAAACAATGAGTATTATATAATCGTTAGTGTCACATCAAATATTGTTTATACAAGAGGACATTTTAATTGACTGCGACAAATGACATTTCATTATCTACGTCTTATTTTGTTTAAATAAGCTTTACGATAGTGTATGGAAGTAATAGTAACAAACGCAATGCGATTTAAGAAAACAATGAAAATACTCTGTTAAATAACCACGAATTGATCTCGATCGACTTCTTACCATTATAAATGGACAATGTTAAATGGAAACTAGGTTGGCCATGAAGACTCGTGAGACTTCCAGAAAATTAACAAAAAAACTCAACTCATTTTCAATAACCCACCTAGTTAACTGGCATGAGTGTCTCTAAACTGCATTAGAGTAAATCCGTAAATTTGTGGTAGGTAATTTTAGGAAACGTAATTGAAGAATCCATTTCATTTATGTGGTAAAAATTTACCGTAAATTTCAAATCGCAGTGGCGTCGAAACGCCGAAATACGTTTTTCACTATTTGCCAACGTGTAACTCGATTCTGTTCGTTGCATTGTGTGATATTTCTGCTCTATTAGACTAATTAGACTTCTTTAGTCTACTCCATATGGTTCAGTAGTATCACGCCCTCTACTCATCTACATTTTGGTTGAGACTTCATTGTCTTGAGTGAATTGAGGGGATGTCACATAACATTACACAATTATTAGCAACCATTAGGTGCTATGTTGAAACTAAAGCATGATCGATATCTCACTCGGTTCTCTAAAAACACCTCACCTCTAAACTTCCTCTTCACATATTATAATTTATGAATGCTTTATTTTACAAATTGGTAAAACTATATAACGCTAATTTTGAGAACATTAACTACTGAATTATTCTGTTCTAAGATCTAGGTTTATTCAAACTTAACTGAATTATCTTCTATTGTAATAAACAAAACCAAGCAACAGGTAGCATTAAAATTTAGAAACTAATTTACCTCCATTTTAGTGAAGTGTAAAAAACCATGGAAGTCTTGGTTTAGCTTGACTGAATTCTCGCCGTTTTAATACCAAACCGGTTTAATCGTGTGAGCTAACTACACTCACAGCTTGCAGTACAATAATTATGGTGTTAGAACAGTGTACTCAGGTGTTGAATTGTAATTTATTACACCGAAACTTAAAATTAGTTTATAAAACTTTGAGAACAGTTCTTTCCTGACTACATGAGTTATTAAATAGCTTATCATTCTTAAGTGTCGGTTTTCCTTGATAATTGCACTCCACTCCACGCATTTTTTTACAAAAATTCATACTTGGAAATCGTATGCTGGATGGAAATTAATAACTTTAAGCGTCGTTCAAAATTCTGCTAATTTAATTAATAATGGAGCTGAACACAGAACTCTTCCTTTAATAAATTAGAATGCAAGTATTTTATTGGTCGTTTGTCTAACTTCAAAACCCAAAGGAAAGTCTCAACTACTATCTTAAATAAACCGTGATAAAAGGCGAAGAAACTAAAATTAATAAAGGGAGAAGTAGACATATGCCCAATTAGTGTCTTTCATTCATTCGCCATTCCATTCATATCCAACGTTTAAGACACCTCCTGAAAATCCTGTTAAACTCTCATTGAAAGAGTCTACATACGTATCATTCATATTGCGCCAATATACATTCCCAACTTGTTAGCTAGGGTTTTCTTCATGCACAACATAGTTGAGTAACTTACATTGTTTGAGATGGCTTATTGTAAGAAGTCGGAATTACTATACTTTACCCAAAGTCACAACTATGCGCTGCTATTTCAAATGAGTGCCCAAAAAACAAGAATAGATAAACAAACAAGGGAGATTGCATTATTTCTTTGATAAAAGTTCTGATGGGAAGAGGAGGAGGAGCTTCCATTGTCTACTCGCATAGTACCATCCCTCCTTATAACCCCATGAACAGTCAATTTATTCCACCCACACGTACTCCTGTCCGTTGGTTCTCAAAAACCTTGACTTATAATTAGCAGTATCCTAGTGTTCCTCGTTTAAGGTGGAAGAAAAGAAAAGACATATTTTTCTCTCCGAAATTTGAGTGATGCTTTTCTTTGCCGTGAAAGAGGAAGAACGTGTAAATAAACCGAGTTTTAATTACAGGGCAATAAACTTACGACTAGAAGACATGCACAGAAATATTTTGCCCTGCTATACATTATTTTCCAGTCTATGCATTAATAAAGAACAAACCGAAACTCTATATTAACTCAATAAGATTTAAGCAATTATAAAAATGAAAAAAAAACTTTTCAATTACGCCATTAAAAGTCCCTGATTTGCCCGAAAAATGCCTTACAAGCAACTATTGATTTTTTATTGAAAATAAATGTACTGATTCTCTTTGTCTGAAAGGCTCCAAACGGAAAGTAGACAAAGCTATTGTCTTTCCTGCTTTAAGTAATGCAACAATAAAAGTCAAAATAAAAAAAATAATTACGAATAATTAGTCGTGAGTATTTTTTCTCGACAAAAATGTAAATCACTTTAGGTTATTAATGAAAATAATAGCTATATCTTAAATTGTTTCCATAATCTATATTATGAATTACACAATAATACACCTTTGATATCGACTTGTAGAACGTAAAGATGAACAAAGGAAAAAACTAAAGCAAACCTTGCCTATTTTGAGTGAACTAGGAGAAAACAATAATCTTTACAATCCCTTAATTTAAAACTTATCTAAAGGGAAGCTAATAATATTAAAGTGTTTTTTTAATGTAGTAGAATTGGTAATGAATCGATAAACTTTGCCATGTATCGCAGTGGGATGGCTGCAAAGGTGTCGGATAACAGAAATATTTATTTATATCAAATGGTAGGCGTTTTGACAGCTATCATTAGCCCTTTAGCTGACTTTGGGCTTCACAGAGAGGAGGAACATCAAGCCCTTTAGCTGACTTTGGGCTTCACAGAGAGGAGGAGGAGGAGGAACATCAAAGTGAAACAAGTCGAGAGGGGGGGCAGAATAATGATTCATAGATGTAAAAGAGACAGACAGACAGACACAAAGGCAGGGAAAAGGTAAGGTGAGTACTGTGGAAGGAATCGAATATGACATGCAGTGGGGTGATGGTAGTTTGCAGTCAGAAATCAACTGCCAGTTAATAGACTTTTTTTGCCGTATGAGTATACGTTGCCCAGGGTGCACCACGTGGAGGTAAGTCCATCGCACACCCCGATAACAGAAATAAGTAAGTGAGAAACAGTGGGTAGGTTTTAGTGCTCTTAAATTAAGCCAAACAAGTTATCTTCAAAATTTTCACAATTAGTTAAGACTTACCTCCTTCTATGGGGCTCATAATAAGTTTAAATAATAATGACCCAGTTTCATCAACCCTCCCCCCTAGGCCGGAAATATGATTCGGGTTTCGATCACCCATTTTTTAATTACAAAATTTACCTGCAGCTAAACATGGTAAATTTTTAACAGGAATCTCTTCATTAAATATTTTCCGTAAAATGAATTGAATAGAAGATAATGTAGAATAGGTAAAATGGGATAAGACTTTAGGAGTTGCATGGACAAGGGTATAGAATCGGGGTGTGTGATAGACTTACCTCCACGCGGTACGCTATGGGAAACGTATACTCATACGGCAAAAAAGTCTATTAACCGGCAGTTGACTTCTGACTTCAAACAACCATCACCTCACTGTGTGTCATATTCCAACATTTCAGCAGATCTCGCCTTACCATTTACTCAACCTTTGTGCCTGCCTGTCTCTTTTACATCTATGAATCATTACTCTGCCCCCCCCCCCTCTCGACTTGTTTCACTTTGATGTTCTCCCTTCACCTCTTTGAAGCCTGAAGTCAGCTAAAGGGCTAATGTTAACCATCGAAATGTCTGCCATTTGAAATAAATAAATATCGGCAATAAAGCTATGAGAAATTGTGACTTTCGCATCAAATAGGTTCTGCTTCAACATTAATTCCAGTGAATACAAGGTAATAAGTAGACCTACTTGTCATTTATTCCAGCGGGCACCTAAATCTACGACTTAGCAAATTTATCATTTGCTAATCAAGTAAAAAAGATACCCAAGTAGACTTTCGTTACTAGCAACCCCAAGACTGACAGTTTGCCTTCTTTTCCAAATCTCAGTACCTCCTCCTCCTCACTCTCTTCCTCCTATTCCTCCACATTCGTCATGTAAACATTTTTAGAAATTAACTCATTATCTACTCACTTTGACTAGGGCTACAGCCTTATTTTAATGTTTCAGCTGAGAATACTGGAAGATACATCCCTTCAGTGGACTGTAAACTTATGACCTTTTCCTAATATGAGACTTAAATGGTTTACAGAAAATAAGAAATATCCTCAACTATCGAAGACTAGATTGAAATTTACTTTCTCCAAAATAATCGGGCAAAGTGCTCTGTTTAAATTATGATTCTTGTCTCTTAATCGTTTTTATCAATCTTTGTGGTTCTGAGATTGGGTCTGCAATTACCTTTTAAAGAATCCTCAACCATAACTCATTCTAAGGCATAATTATTTATTGGAAAACTTGAGGGTTCTCATAATATGGTAAATTAATAAGCAACTACATGTACTTTACCAGTAAGTATAATTTAGGAAACCTTCAACATGTCCTATCAAGATAAAATGGCAATTGTTGCACGAGACTGCATGAACAGTAATGTCTACCTCTTATGGCAACTAGATTTGAATATGCATTCACACATATACATATACCCACATGAGCAACAGATCCACCAGTTCACTATTTACTGTAATCCAAACGAGATGCATTGTACAACTAATTCAAAATAGAATGAACAATACTTAAGCTGTACAACAATTGCTTGAATAATACCAAAAGACGAAAGTAGTAAAATTATTCACTTTGATAACGGTCCAATAAGTTGTAATGCAATCAGGGAACAGCATACGACCTCGGGATAGGATACTGCGTAAAATCGAATAAATGAGATCTAACACTGAATTACTCAAAATTCGTAAGTTCATCAATTATTTAAGTAAAGGATATAGAATATATGAGAAAGTAAGGAAGAAAAAATCTCATTTCTTGGTGGAACAGATCAGATTAGAACTAAATCAGAATAAAAACATCTGTTGTGAGATTAGGACGAAATATGCTTTATGAGCATTTAGAAATCGTATCAAGATCGAAATTACTTAGGTATTTTGGGTATTTCGCTGCCAATTTTTACACCAGGTATGATAAAATTAAACCTATTCTACAGTACTTCAACGAATAAGTATTAAATAGATGCAGGTTAATTTTAACGGACAGATTTCTTTACGGTAAATCTCTACTAAGTTTATTTCAGTGCCGAAAATAAGATACTCACAGATATTTTTCTCAATCCGCTCTCGCAATGCTTGAACCCTCAGTTTCCCTCCAGCTCTTCGGAAGATTCCATGCGCAGCATGCTCGGCCTGCTGAAGATAGGAGAGCATATTGGAGATGCATGGAGGGAATGGATATCCCACTCTATGTTGCCAAAAGGCCAGTGTACGACCAAACACGGGTCCCTTAAAGCTCCGGCTAGCTCCATAGGAGTTTAATGTAACTAAATCTGTGCTAGAGCCAGCTCTCTCCTTGAGTTCTGGCCAGAACTCTGTTTCACCGTTCGTTGATTCGGGAGTTTTGATACCAATTGGTGAGGTTTCGCTTTCGCTGCTGGTTAGGGTGGAACAGAGAGATGGAGGTTTGGCATCACAGAGAGGTGATTCGGTTTGTTGGTTGAGGACTATGGCGATTGGAGGTTGAGTCAACTCCTGCCGACTAGTTTTGGGAGTAGCTTGTGGAGTAGTGGAGGCCGATACTTTGGATTGAGATGACTTGCGTCCAAAACGCCTGAAAAATGCAGGAAATGAAAGGCTAATGGAAGCCTGCAAAGACTTACTCAATGCATTTTAAACCAACTGAACCCAGTTGGATCTAAAGTTAAGATGGTTGGAAATCTGCCTTAGGTAGTCATCCATATTATTTCTGAAGGCACGATATAAGAGCCTACTCTAGTGGTTGCTTTGCGTAGAAAGAAATGAGGAATGACTCAATTTTCCTGGTTTATTTGAAAGCAGGCTTAGAGGTATGCAGAAAGTCGATGACCAAACTTATTCTTGAAAGCAATTGCAGAAATGTTCACTCGAGAGGCTATTGTATAAATTAAGCCATGAGGTCACAACTAGCATGCTTTGACTACATTTAGTTAATCAAATCAGGAAGCTCAGAGGGGCAATTCCTTAAGCAAAGAATAATAATTAAATAAAACTATGCTATACTAGCTTGAAACTCTTAACTTTCAATTGTTGACAATTTAAATTGAAAAATTGAGTGTCTAGACACTAATGCATTGCAATTTGTTCTACTTAAGACAAAGTTAATCTCTCGTAATTTTCATTAAGATAAACCGATAAAATAAAGGGGTTTTTGAATTACATTAGCATGTTTCTACAAAAAGGAAACACACTGGTCTATTTGCAGTGGACAAATAAGCAGACCTTGAGAAAAAAATCGACAGGAAATAAAATTCAAAGAAAATGTAACTTATCATAAATAGGGGTCATAGCCTCTCCGCTTTTACAGCAAACCTATTGGGAATACGACAGACACACGTAGCCGCCAATATAGTGGATACCATAGCAAATGAATGAAAGAATACCTGTGGTTATTGCATGAATCTTATGCCATAATATTCATCACGAATTATCCATTGTAAATGGCATGCGAGGGAATCGGATTTCTTATCTTCTGCACCTCCCCCGCAGATAATAGTCATCAATTCCGTATACCGCCTTATTGTTTTACTATCAACTTGTTGGAGGTTGCCTGAGGTACTCTACGGGGAGACAATCCTCTTCCCCCCCCCCCCCCCTCACATGTCCGCATCCTACTCGGACAACTCTACCGCAGTTTCTCCAACTGTCTCTCTCTGCACATCCCATCCAATTCTAATACCCCGTGCTTATCAAAGGGTGCAGCGCAATGTAAATCTACGCCTCATCATTACTATTTGGTTAAATGCTTAATTTAATTAATATTTCTTAATTATAAATAGTTCCCTTTTGTTATCATAGTTCCTTGTCTGCGTAAGAAGCCAGAACTAATTTAACTATTAGAGATAGGCAGGTATATGCAACGAACTAATTGACAATGTTCCGAGCACAACGTGTGGAAATTGTCAACAAATTCCTTGTTGACAGTTCACACCACCGATGGAAACGGGTCTGCGTACTTCTAAATACTTTTAACCTCCATTTATTTCCGAGTCTGAAAGGCTATGAAAAACGCTGGTGTTGATAATTAAAATACTTATTTAATTAAGAGCATAGACTAGCATTCATTCCAATGAGTTTCTAAAATTTGCCATCTAAACAACACACTTCCATATCAATTCCATCGGGATATTGTTCTTAATGATACTTATATTTTATGTGAAAACAATTCATTATGTTATAAGGCCTATATAGCTGAATGAAAGTTTCATATTATCAGACGGACTCATATTATTGTTATAATATCAGGAGTAAACAATGTTATTTTATTGCTGGATAAAGCAATAAAAGAACAGGTGTTTTGAGTTTAAAAATAGCAATGGAGACAGACAGCGTTAAGTAAGGTGAACCCATCCCATGAACCTTAAAATATAAATACTATATTAGTGTGGAAGGTGGAAGCAACCACACTAGTTCAAACGGGTAAGTTGATTCTTTACATCATTACTTCTAATGTCATTTATAAATAAATATCCTCGTAGTCATTTTCCGAAAGTTTACAGCATTATTTGCAAATGAAGAATGTAGAAAAGCTATTTTTTATTTACTGTCTTGCTGTGGTTTTGCAACGCTTCCAGGGCCGCTAAAGGAAACTAGTTCGCGATGGAACATCCTGGAATTGTGAGGCATGCTTTTGATCACATATCGAGCAAGAGGGGGGAAGGGTGGGGGAGTGAGTACAGTGACCCTACCAGCCAATCAGCGATCAACATTCATGCTACGTGTTACTAATCTTAGGCTGCTTCTAAGACTTTTCTCGGTAAACTCTCCATACACTAGGTTCTGGGTTCTCACTACTTTGGACAAAACTCTGTTAATTTCGGGGTAATTTTTACTGGAGGAATCTGCTATTAGCCTCTTTCATTTACCCGAAGCAAGTTGAACTTCACATGAGAATTAATAATTTTATACAAAGGCCTATTTGGGTTGTGTAGGCTACAGATTTAATGCAAGAGAGGAATTGAAGAAATAAATGGTACACAGAACTTGACGAGACCAAATCAGTTATTCTGAAATTCAAAAACTTTAAAGTAGGCCGGGGATTTTTTGACTTGTCAAGTCACTTTGCATAAAGATTAATTGGAATTATCACAAGATACCTCAAATAACACGGAGAAGAGATAAAGTACTAATCCTAGCACGTGATATCCTTTAACTTTCAAATAATTTTTTCGATGTCTTTAGAAAGATGGGTTAACTTAAAAGCTATTTGCAAAGAATACTATTAAGTTATGAGTTCATACAAATAATAGAGCCCTATTAGAGAGATAAAATCCATCGATTTTTAAATAAAACAACATTCGTTCTACTAGAACTTATCAATTCGACTTCAATTACTTCACTCGAATTTATTGATTTTACCTTAAAAGGGCTTCTTAATGACATGAATGCTATTTACTATTGAAAGTGACAGTATCTTGCTGAAGTTTGACATACTTCATTAGCAGCACGTTAAATGTTTCAAAAGTATTGTGAAGATTGCAGATTTTTCGCATTGCAAAGTGTCAAGTTAGCATAAAATCATGCAAAATAGCACAAAGAAGGAGGAGAAAAAAATTGAATCAACATTGAATTCTTACCGCTGCTTTTCATCTAAAGGCAAGATGATCAATCTTATGCAAATCTCATCTGAGAACAAATAGAAGCACCTGCGACTTTTGAAGACACATTTCATTGTTTATTCGAGAAAATATGAAAAGCAGCACAACCTGACCAGGAACAATTATCAATGAACGATCGATTCATTACATTGCATAGCCATACAACTCCCCAGTTCTGTCCTGACTACAGAAAATGGTAATTTAAATTGCGATTAAGATATTTTCAGGAATTATATTGAGGTCTTCTAACGGCCAAAGAGACACATAGGTTGAAGAATTTAGCTTGAGAGCTGTATTTTGTCTGTTCTTTCTGCCATGAGGGCCTTATAATAGATTCCTGGCCACTTAATTCAATTTTCAAGAGTAGAAACCTACTCTGTACTTTTCGAGGCATTTATGCACCACTTCAATGAACTGTTGGTCCAAAAAGTGGCCAATTGGACAAACTCTATTATTAATATACACTTTCACATTTCAATAATGATAATTTGGTTTTGAGTTCTTGACATCTTTCATAATTAAGAACGATAATAATGTATACACAGAGTTGTTAAAGCAAAATTTTAAAGTTTACCGGTAACTACTTCATGCGTGTTAATGTTTAGAAGGTTTTCGCTGGCATTATGCTAAAGCACACACCACCTGTGCTCACTCTTTGAGGTGAACTTTCCCATGATCAAAATCCCAGGAAACAGAATAGCAGGTGGCTTGGATAGCATATTTCCTAGAAGGAACACTCTTTGAGCCACACAGACTCAATTTACCCAAACTGTAATGATTTCAGATGTTTGTTCTCCACTGCTGAGGTTTTTGAGTTGCTTCCCTTAGCGGGTTTATTTAAAAAAGGTGAATTAAGGCTAAATTCAGATGCCTCCGTGAAATTAATGACCCTGGATAATAATATTAGGTGATCATAGATCACATATAAGGTAATAGTAGGAATCAGGCCCTTGACACACCCCTGGCAGAGGACAACAAAGATATCAACTAATCTTATTACGGAAAGACTACCAATGTGTATTTGGCTTCCAATCTCCCGCCCCACTATACTGTTATGAATACGACGCTAACCAGTTAGTGGGCAGAATTAAAATACTTTTGACACCCCTCCTAGTGAAAGTTGAAAATATGCTTTTATCCAAGTTCTGGGACAGGGGCTAGATTAGGGCGAAAATAGACGTTGATGACTTCATCATGAGTAATACTCACTGTAATTTCCCTGTCCACTTTCTTTATTTTTAACCAATTAAATAGACTAACTGCCAAACCACTGTTTCCTTGTTGTTGTTAGTATGTTCTTGACAAATAACGTACGCTTAAGGAGATGTCCCATTCTTTTTAAACGTTTACTAAAATAAATGGTCGATTCACCATTTAACCTGTTTTCTAGGAATTTACGAAATAATTAGCTAAGTATAGACATTTCAGTCTGTCTTTAAAATCACAACCTTTGCACCGTAGACAGAATCAGTTAAAATTGAGTCAGTGTAATTATGTTTGTGTAGGAGGAGCCTGCCATTTCTACTATGCAAATCACGATCATGTATGCATCATGAGCAGTCTGTCGGTTTCCTTGTCACACGCTATTTTGTTGCTTAATGTGTTTGTTTGAATGTGTACAGGTACTCATACGTACACATGCTTGGTTGCATAAGACGGTAGTGCATAAGTAGGAACAGAAGAACAAGGAATCGGTTAGCTGTGAAAATTTGCCTGTGACTCTCACACAGAATTTTTTCAACATTCAGGTACATTCAATACATTTGATGTTTCATAGTTTTGTAGAAAAGTAAACACGATCAAAATTAATATCAAATATTTTCTAACTTTATTTCCAGTATTGATTTTTCAGACCGTTCATATCATATGTCCTTTTAGCCTTAATATGGGTAATACTTCGAAATGGGAGGTTAAATTTCAGTTTTATCAAAATTATGCATCTCACTTGTATGGAGATTACTTAAAAGTCACCTACTTCGCGCAGATTTGCAACTACTATTAAAATAAATTAAGCTAATGCTGACATTATCCGAAAGAGTGCTAATTGCCAATGGCTTAACTGAGTTCTCAAAAAGAGCCAACTGATTAACTGGCTATTAAAGTAAACAACTCTAATTACTGCTCAAGAAACTTGGAGGTCATTCATTAAAATTCAACTCCTAAGCACTGGATCGTGACAAGGGAAACAATGGCGCTCTCCTACTCACTCCACTATCACCAATTTACTGCGTCGCCTTCCTTACTCCAACATTATAAGACGATGTTGGTTATTTTAAGATTCTAGTATAGAAGTAAATTGGGATTTAAGTTAGTAAACAGTGGGAAATGAAAGAACATGAAAATTAGTGTCTTATCTAACAGGCGCATAACCTTTGGAAGGGATAAATTTACGAAGAGTAAATTTCATGCAAAAGACTGGCTGATTTTTACCTTTTACTGAACAAAAGATTTAACGCCAATGTTAATACAGTATGTAGATACGAAACCTTAATTTTCCTACTGAAAAGCCTAAAACACTCTCAATATCATTAATTAATTTTTCTTTTCATTGCTTGTATTATATTCAATTTGTTTCTGATTTGTAGATTATCAGCAAATAAAGGTGCAGCTGTTCATTGTTCTTCACAAAATGTCATTCTAAAATTTCCCTAGATTTTCCTTCAACCACATTCCCCTTAAAAAATCATTTTGGACAAGTCCTCATCTCGAGTACCTAGGAAAATGAATCCTTAAGGGAAACACAAAAGCTATCCTAAAAGTTGCATTATTCTAGTCACATAAATATTAATTAGTATAAAGAGGAAATTGAAACTCACCATTTAATTAGTCTATTCGAGGGACAGACCTCTTCTTGAGTCAAGGTAATCTGTGTCTGCGCCATTCTCCTCAGAACATTGAGCTGGCCCGCCGAAAACACCCAAATCGGAATTCCGTCCTGCATGTGCGGAACCAGCATACTAATAATCCTTGAAGCGGGCTCCGCCTTTCCTTTTGTGAAATCAACTAGTTTTGCGGATTCTTTAAGGGCCGGAACGATCTCTCTCTCTTTCACTTCTTCCGGACCTTCCAACACTGGAGGTCGTAATGCAGAATAGGGACTGGGTCTCTGATGCCTTTCAGACCAACGAAATTGATGTTGCCGTACGCGCAGAAAGGAGAACCCTTTACTAAAATGAAAATCCCACAAAAATGAACTTTAGCAACTTAAAGAAAGCTCTGAATGGTTGAGTGGCTAAGGATACAAGCTTAAAACATGTAATATGCTATTAGAAATCTTCAGCAATGCGTAAATGTTCACCAAACTTACTCATCTTTAGGCGGTTCCTTTGAGGGTCGGTCTTTGTACGACAATTTCTTCATTTGCTCAGATTTTTTGGCCTTTGAAATGCATTCAAGATCAACAAGATCATGAATTTTGGAGGTCAGTTCTCGTTGGGCTTCGTCAACCTAATTGGACATATTAAAACTACATTAAATCAGCCAAATTTGATTTCTAAAGGAAAGGTGAAGGGCTTACATCCTCCTGTTTGATTATGGGCGGAGAAGTTTGTTTCATGTTTGCCGGCAGTTCTCGTTCCATGCTTCGGCTTGTGGGTTCATTTTGATTATCATGGGGAGCTGATGAAGAGGGTGTTTTCACTGATTTCGAACACCGCACACCTGAAAATAGAATTTTGCGGTAATAAAGTTTCCTTTTTAATCAATTCTGTGAATTTTAGAGTTACAAATGTGAAAGTAATGTACTTGAAAGGAGTCTCATTTTAATGAACTCTAATTGTGAGAGTGATTTGAGAAACGAATGTAAAAAGAGACAAATTATATGGCAACTTACATCCCAAGAAAAGCCAAGCAAAGCGCATGGTACTTAGTTAATAAGATTAAGATCCCACGAGAGATAAAGGGCTTGGTGTCAAGTATTGCGCATTAAAACCTTACTCAGGACTATCCTAAGACGCGAATGAATGCACAGGTGTGTAGTTTTGCCATTCCTGATCTATTTGTTTATGCAAATAGCCTGTCTCTCGATCGGTATATAAATGTTAATCGCCACGTTAGGATTCTGCGCGCTCCCTGTACTCGCTTAGTTTAAATGGAAAAAGTCTACGAACTCTATATTTACTCCAACTTATATATGAGAGAAACCGTACTGAAGTTCAGATGACCTGGGAGGAATCTGAAGGTAAGCATTTAGAGCTTAGTTTGAGGTGATGTACTCAGTGTTAAGGATTTATATATGTATCGCTGATTAATTTTTTTTATTTGGATGTTCCATAGAGGAAATAGTCATAAAAGTTCCAGTTAAGGCAACTCAACATTGATGCAAAGACAAGAAGCGGTAGCTGAACTCTAAAAGGAATATAGTAACCTGTAGCATGGGACATTGGGAGATACTTAGACAGTCGGTGTCATCGGTTCTAATCAAAGAAAGGCGATTGAGACGATACAATGAAGTAAATACAAAAAAAATTTTATATGGTACAATAATTATCAGGACCCCTTCACCAAAATATATTTGTTGAAATAACAATATAAGGTGGAAGTGGCTTCGGAATCTCATGAAATCCAATCCAAATACATATTTTTAGGTTTATCAAAGAGCACAAAATTTTAGACCAACGCATATGAAGAAATTAAATTCTAGGGTGAAATATTAAGAATTCCAGCATCTGACAGCAAGAGATTGTGACTTGAGCATAACAAACTCGCCAGTTGTAAACATTTGTTTGTAGGGGTGTGCGATAGACTTACTTCCATGTGGTTCGCCCTGGGCAACATATATTCATACGGTAAAAAGATCTATTAACTGGCAGTTGACTTCTCACTTCAAATTACCATCAACTTACTCTTTGCCATATTCGACTACTTTCACAGTACTCACCTCACCTTTCATCTACCTTTGTGTCTGTCTCTTACATCTTTGAAGCACTCTTCTTCCCCCTCCCCTCTCGACTTTTTTCAATCTGATGTTCCTTCCCTCTGTGAAGCCTGAAGTCAACTAAAGTGCTAATGATAACCATCAAGATGCCTGCCATTTGATATATATATATATATATGTAACGTTTGTTTATTTGTTCAGTTGTGCAATTACAATAAGTTCGGTATATAAAGATGTCATATGGTCAAAATTAATAAGACAAAACATTGCTGAAGCTCGAAGGAAGTAGCATACTTCTTACTCCACCTATCTATCTTCGGTTTGTATTTAAAGGTTCAACAGTTTTCCATTATGACATCGCGTCATACAGGTACTACAAGAGCAATCGATCCACTCAGTTCGTTTTGGCATGGAAGACTTGAGAAGGCGTATACATTTCTTGTTTAAACTTGCACTGCGTGTACAATTGATTAGCAATGTAAATATGGCGGTGTGTTTAATTAGATCATCTTAATACGCACTCAGGTGACATTCCAAAATTAAAAATGATGGAAAGTTAAAAAAATACTGCACTACTGAATCAAAATATTCCTGCATATCATCATTTTCTTATCTTTACCTTAAAAAACACAAAACTGTATCATCTATTTAAAATTGAAGTTGACGTGGTTGTTTATTACCAAACTTAATACTGAAGCCACAAATTTTTAATCCGACAAATTTACTCATAAATTCATTTTATCCATCCACATCATTTACATCAACCATAAAATTATTATATTTTTATTATCAACGAAGGAATTGGCAAATGATTCAAGAAATGGAGAAGAAACATACCTTTCATATAAATAGCGCGATTTTTCAATACTTGATTTCACATTAATTATTTACAATATCATCGTTTCTTTTTAATAGTAAAGAAATTATATGATTTAATACATATAAGAACAAATTGCAGGTCATAGCTCGTGAGTGATGCTAAATAAGCAGAAAAGAGTAGAACTGAGAAGAACATGTCCATTCATTTACAAAGTCATATTTCCAATAAAAAGGGATGTGGGGAGGGGGGGGGGGGTTAAGAACTTCAAAATTTACTAAGTTGATTAAAATCTGAAGTAAAATAAATAATGATATTTATGATAATGGGCTTGATGAAACTGGCGCTTAAAGGATATTTTGCATGAAAACTAAATTAGAAATCGAAAATCTAGTTTTTATCGTTAGTAAGTGTTATACTTGATATAAACCTGCTAATTTTAGTAAAATAATTTCGTTAGGCACTGAATTGGAGTGCCACACATCTTTTTTTCACCGAAAAAATTCTTCACCATTGTTCTTAAGCCAATTTAATGACAGTAAATTTATAATGTCAAGCATATCAACGGAAAACCACTTTGAATTCTTTAATTCCTAGCATCAAAGCAACAATCCCAAATATTACTTCTGAAATGTATTGGTTGCTTGCAAGGAATTTTAATATAGAAGCTCGTGACAAGAGACTAAGAAGAGTACAGTTTCACTCTTGAATTAAGCAATTTCAGTTGGCCTTCCATTAGCAAACGATACATTGTGTCCAAGTTAAAAAGGTTCCTGTTTCCTCTATCGTAACATTAGTGGTGTTCTGTACACACTACTTTTAAATAAAAGTATAATGGTAATTTACCTTTCACTATTTACACACAAACCAAACAATTATTTTAGAAAGCCTGTCCAATTGGTAAAATTCCTCTGTAATGGAACTAGATGAACTTAGCAGATAAATCATTCGTGCTTATGTTATTAATTTACGAAGTTGGTACTAAAACTCCTAATAGACAATTTCAAGATTAGTCAATTCGTTCTAGACTAATGCGTAGGCGATTTCTTTAATTAATTAAAATAAGCATACAAATTGAATTTTATCTGTCGTAGTTGAGCCGGTTTAGTAAGGAATCGTCAATTTAGTCCTCGCCAAATCGTAAGTTCAGGAATATGACAATAGAGTAATCCATTGTAAAACCTTTGAACAATGATTCGACCCAACATAGGGATTATACAATCGGATAACAAACATTCATACTAAAAGAAGGGGAATTCATTTAGGTAATAAATACTGAATTCATAAATTCGGCTGACAGAAACAGAGAACACTATTTGAGAAATCCAAGGCGTAGAATTTGAAATTAAGGATTACGTTGAGTACTATCCCAATAAGGCCTGACGTTGAATATTTTGAACTAAACAGTCCACTTGGATATCAACTATTAGAAGTGCTTTGCCTCTAGCTATATCAAAATAACAAGTTACCGTTCCATGGATGATAATTAGAGGAAAATAAAAATGAGACAAATTGGAAATATTATTTATTTAATAATAAAGACTATTAATAACTGTAGAGTAAGTGAGCATATAATTAAATTGAGATGACACGCGCACATGGGGTGAAGTAGTGAGAATAAGCAATGAATGGACAGGTGTTGTCAGTTAATTTAGAATTAACTACATAGACAAGTAAATTTTTTTTAAATAGGGTGGTCACTTGGCAAACAAAAGTGTTAAGGGAACGTGAGAAACTAAGTAGCTAAATATAATACAATGATTTACGCATCATTTTTTTATTTCCATTCTTCAACTTCAGACTACTATGAAAGGACTAATTGTGCCCTAGTCCAAAATGTATCGAAAAAGGGGAAAGCAGAAAATATTTTCAATTTGCAATCGTGAAGAAAAGAACACTTTTTAATCAAGGAAGGAAACGTATTGATGGCGAAGTTTCTGCTCTATGCGAATTAGAAGTAGTTCACTGCTTTAAAGCATATTTAGATCAGTCGCTTTTGTCTTTATTCCTGCTAGTTCAAGTCAAATGACTTTAAACTCTGGAACATTGATGAATTCGTGCTCGCGATGACAAGTTGATTTATGTTCGATAGGCTAATTATGATAACTTGACAAAAATTGCGCTTCGTTAAAAGGTGGTTTTAACTTATTAGAGTTCACCAGGGTTGACGAAATTACATTTGGTCAAAGGATAGAGAAAAATTCCTAGCATGATTAAATTTTCGTTAACTCTCTTTCCAAACTCACTTAAAAGGTTGGGGATAGGGAAGGGAAGTGAAAAATAGAACAAGGGGTTGGGAAGAAAATTAAGTGGATAGTACTAACTACTGAACAAACACTCCCGGCCTTAAATTTCCCCGTTGTGACAACAAGGGGAGGGGATAAAATGAAATTGGTCACGCAACAACTCATTTTATTCCTTGCCCTGTTTGATATGGACCTCCGTTTCGAATATTCGATATAAAAATTAAATAAGCTCTCTTATTATTGCGGAGGTTATGTGTTTATCAACATATTGAAAATCGATAGATTAATAGACGAAATAATCAACTCTGTAAACGCACCCATGGAACTATTGGCTTTTGTATTTAATTATGTGAAATTCGTGATAAATTTGATAAATATGCCATCTCGTTAAAAGCATCAATTTTCGACTCAACTCAATTTAATTTTACTTAGGACGTTATTTTTAGCACTTAAATTGATAAACATGTGAAATTTTTCTCAGAATATTGCTCAAAATAAGGAATCAAGATTGTTTCAATGAAATAGGATTTGTCAATAACCTCTCTTTATAAATGGAAATTCGTCTTGTTAAATTAAGAAATTTTCTTCACTTATTATTAGTGTTCAGTATAATTTTCAAGATTTTCCAACTTACACATCTTTAATATCACTTCCAATTAATATACCTTTATAGCTTAAATAAAATTTAAAAAGAGCAATGGAAGCAGACCATTCGAAATTG